GTTGCATCTGGGTTCAGATAATCTATAAGCAACACCCATTAAATACACCAATAAAAAAAAGCACTCAGAAAATCACTGTCAGACAGGACAAACCATACCTTCATCTGGAGAAACATAAAATGTGATCTTGTCCTGGTTGTTGTAGATTGCTGCCTCCACATTCTCATAGGACTGAGTCTCATCTGTCCGAACAAGCAATACATATTGACTGCGTCTTGAGTGTTAAAAATATCAGTAAATAAGCAGTCTTTCATATTTTGTAATTTGTTTTTTTTTATTTTTAATATTTATTTATGCATTTGAATGGCATTATGGGATCTTGATTTGTCAATTTGACAAATGAACATTTCTAATATGATATATCACCCGGGTTGGTGTGATGGTACAAAAACCTTGCAATACAAGTAACTTCCAGTACATTTTCAGTAATTTTACTTAGTTATTTCTCTTTATATTACTTCTTATACAATATATTATTACTAAAATTCAATTAAAGTCACTTTGTTAAACTGTAGAGTTGAATTTCCAACATTAAAAGTCGACAGAGCAGAGATCAAGACCTCATAATGCAATTCACAGCTGTAAATAAACTCAAAACACTTGTGAGTCACATACAGAAACTGTTTATAAACAGATATGTTTAATAGTGTAATGTGGTGTAGTGATCACCTTTTTATATACAAAAACATTTTTAAAATAGCTATATTTTACCCTTCTTGTTGTTTTGAGGTTTCTCCATGTATCTCTGAGTGCTGCTGCTGTACAAAAACACAAAACAGACATTTTAATACACATTTCTTTTATTTGTATATTTCCAGCACACAAATAAACAGCCAGTCATTGATTGAAGCATGAAAAACTAATAAATAAACAAATCCATGACAGACGGTTAAAGATAAAAAGCAGAAAATGGAGATTTGGTAAGAGAAGTCTTTGCTCGTCTCTTTCTTATGGGGAAGTCATGAACACTTTCCTTAACTGAGGCAAGCAACACCTGCAGTTATTTTGGAGCTGTTATGGGGTGAGTTTTGTTGTAAACATTTGTTTTATTTGCATTTGTGTTAGAGCGGCATGAGGTTAGCGATGTCGCCTCACAGCAAGAATGTCTCTGGCTCGAGTCCCGGCTGGGCCAGTTGGCAATTCTGTGTGCAGTTTGCATGTTCTCCCTGTGTTTGGGTGGGTTTCCTCCGGGTGCTCCAGTTTCCCCCACAGTCCGCTTTATTTAAATTGAATGTAATAATGTATGGGTGTTTCCCAGTACTGGGTTGCAGCTGGAAAGGCATCCACTGCGTAAAACATATCCTGAAATAATTGGCGGTTCATTCCGCTGTGGCGACCCCTAATAAATAAGTGACTAAGCTAAAGGAAAATGAATGAATGCATTTGTGTCTATTGCATGTTTCCAGTAATTGATTGAAACATGAACAAAAGTAAACAAATCAATGACAGGCGGTCAAAGGTGAGAAGCAGAAAAATGAAGAGATTTGGTAAGGAAAGTCTTGATAAAAATGTGAAGAAACCTATTAAAAACAAACCTTTTTTATATGAAATGGAAGATGAAATACTGTTGCATGGCATTCCTTTCCATTAAATGATTGTACTATTTAGATCAATAAGAGTTTTATTTTATTTTCAGGACCTATTATAGTACTAAATTGGATTTTTGCTGTAGGAATTATAATCTCTTTATGACCTTTCAAAACATCAAGAGCAAAGAGTCTAAAACTACATTTCCAACTTTAACTTTAATAAACTTTGAATGCACTGAAATGCATTTTGAATATATATTTTCAAAAACTTTATCTCCAAACCAAAATTCTAAACAAAATGCTTCAAATTTAAGGTGGAAATTTAGGCTTTAAAGTTAGCTTTCAGGTAAACTTGTGTTTGGACCAAGTATGACACTTTTTTTTTTGATAAACTTTTTTTTTTTTTTTTACCAAAATGTTATGTTATGATATTGTTACTGTATGTGTATTATTATAATTGTTATTTGTTGTAGTATTACATGTTATATGTTGTTGTTTTTTTTCTTTACCTAAAAAATGTCAGATTTTTTTTTTTTTAGGATTAATTAAGTTATTTTTGCTAATAGTGTCAGCTTTGCCAGACATATATGCCAAGTATAAAACATTTAAAGCAATAAAGAAGTGTGAATAAAAAGAAAAATAAGTTTGCCAAAAGGCAAATGCATCACCCAAAGTTGTTAACAGTGACCGCGTTTCCATTTGTTTGTGGCCTCTTCTTTGCAGTGGCTGCAAATAAAAAAATTACATTTATAAAAAAAGAATGTAATAATATTATAAAAGAATTAGAGCAAGAATTGTTCAGTAATGAATAATTAAACAAGAAGCTTTTATGTTAATTATTTGCTTATATTTGTGTATGTATGTCTTCAGATGGTGTTAATTTAATATATAAATGTAAATTAGAGTATTTTTTTGTATATAGTATTATAAAATATTATTATTTAAAATATTTAAAACATATTTTTAATAAAATATTTTAACATTTTTTTTTTTTTAACTTTTTAGTTAAAAATTTTTTTTGATTTTGTTTAAAAATGGATGTTTCCCAGTACTGGGTTGCAGCCGGAAGGGCATCTGCTGCGTAAAAACATATCCTGGAATTGTTTATGGTGGGTCAGTTGGTCAGACAGTTGGTACATATATATTAGTGGTGGGACGTTATCGGCGTTAACGTGCTGCGTTAACACGAGACTCTTATCGCACGATAAATATATCGCCGTTAATCTATTCTTAAAGTTGGGTTGAGAGCTGTGTCTGTTCTACGCAAGTTGTGATGACTTTCACCTTGATATTTTAGAGCGGATGTATACCTGGCCGAATTTCGGACAAGTTTCGGAACCTTTGTGTACTCAAACTGTGAAATTACCTCATCAAACTTAACATGCTAACATGGATGCAGTTCACTGGAGTAAATCTAATTAACGTTAGCTCCACATATAACTAGTATCAGGCGCCTGCAAAGTTTATGCGTTCGAGTAAAACATATACACATAAAACGGAGCAGGTGCTTTTTAAAATGAATGAGGGTGAATGAAAGTCAAACCACTGAGACGCCTGACAAAAAAGTGAATCAAATCAGCAGGATGCCCCTCTGGGTCTTTCACTTACTTTAAAGACACTACTGACTATGCTTACATGGACATTAGTGATGTAGTTATTTGCAGGGCTTGACATTAACTTTTTTTGATCACCAGCCACTGTGGCTAGTAGATTTCCATCGTTACTAGCCACTGGCCATTTTCACTAGCCACACTTTACTTATTGGGAAAGTATATTTTAAATGCATAAATTTGGCTAAAATGACTTTAGATATTTAGATATTGTGTTATGTCCACATGCCTTCTCATTCATTTAACTTCTTGTGTGTATTGTGTATTAGCTTGCTCAGTGTGCATGAGCAAATGGGCTGTCGCAATGCAATCAGTTTTTATTTTACATGACTTTTCAGGGCTCAAAATTAAGGACCCTGAGCTCGGAGATAGTTGAGCACAGGGCTCCCGCCTGGTCTATAGAGGCTGTGAGGGGAGTACGAGATCAGGTGGTTCTCGAGAGCTCCCTGTGGTAAAGGAGGAGATGGGGGGTGTCTTTGGAAAACGAAGATAAGGGAGTAGTTCTAGCTAGGCTACTTATAGTGAGTTTGGATTAATCTGATTGGCTAACTAATGAATGTAGATTGGTGGCCTGCTGCAGTCAATCATATCACATGCTCCTCTCGAATTTAGTTTGTGAAACTTCACTAAAAGAAAACTACAATTTAAAAATGATTTCCAACCAGCCAAAGTGGCTAGTGGAGGTGTCTGTCTAACCCGCCAGAGCTGAAATCTACCCGCATTTGGCGGGTTGGCGGGTGTTAATGTAAAGCCCTGGTTATTTGCCATAATAGACAATAATATAATTAAGGTGTTTACGTGAAGTGCTTTCATGTAAGAGTTTCCTGTAATTTTGGGTGACTTTAACTGCAGTTCGCCAGTTTCACTCATGAATATTTCATTCATGCCCCCATGACAAACTGGGGTATTAGACACAAATAAGGTGTAACTGGTGAGAGTGTTATGGTATTTGATAACGTACGCTAAATAGAAAGAAAAAAAAACTGCATTTCACGATGTGTGTGTGTGTGCCAGTGGTCCTTTACTGACAGCCGATTGTGCGAATCTTGTCGGAAAATATGGTGAAAACTCCTACATGACTGTAATAATAGTTTGATTGCGGTGTTTACTTTAATAATGGCACTAATATCTGCATACTCCACATCTTAATTCCATTTCTGTTTAGTTCAGTTATGACTTTAGTCGGTTTACAGTAATCAAAAATCACTGTTTTGAGCATATGTAGGCCTACAGTTCAAAATTGATGTTTAACTGAATAAACTGTTAGTACACACAAGTACATCTTTTTGAACATTATTTATTTTCATCAGCAATTATCATAGTAGAATAGTTTCTCAAGCAGGTTGTGATGCATTTTTGGAAACAGGAGATGAGCCCCTGGTCTAATGCGCCACCTGGCTAGAGAAACCCATTCTCAAAGACTTATTATTTGGGTAGCACACATGCTGTGTTATGAATGCCTTCGGCAGAATTCAATTGAGCCATTTTAATCTAGATTAATTCCAAGATTACAGTGAGATTAATCTAGATAAAAAAATATCTATGCCCACTTCTATATATATATATATATATATATATATATATATATATATATATATATATATATATATATAACTTTTAAAAATAACATTTTGTTCATTTAGATTTCATTGTGACTGATATGGTCTGAAAAGTATTGTACTAAATTGCAAATGTATGTACATGTATATGTGTTGAAATGTACTGTAATATATTTTAATGGATTTAAGTTTTAAGATTGATATTTAACTTTATTTCAGCTCTAATTCTGTTCTTTGTACTGTACAATTTTTTACTTAATAATTTAAGTTTCGTTGAAAAAAAACTAAAACTTTGCCTGTGTGTTGACGATTGCCATTTCTCTGCCGCTGTGTTTTGCAGATGGTTGTGAACAGGACAATCCCAATCACAAAAGCTGATACAGGAACAGAGTAGAGTAACCAATCCGGCCGAGATGCTGTAAACACAACACACACAAATGAAAAACTGATCCAGCGTCTGATTTATGATGATGTTATGCCACACACAAAGCATACCTGTGTTATTTGAATTGGTTTTGACTGGTTTGAGATCAGGTTTGCTGTGGAACACACCTGTGGGCAAGTTTTAATCATCATTCTTTAGATATTAATATTCAGTTCGATTTTATATGTCACATAATAAAACACCATGCAAATGGTTAAATTATTTATAGTATTTTTTATGTCATAACTTTATAATATAATATATAAGCAATAGCTATCAGTGAAGTAAAATTAGTCGTTTGCTTCATTTCTGAATGAATCAGCCATTTGACTGAATCAGTTGAATATTTGACTCATTCATTAGGCATTTACAGCCCCCTACTGGTTAATTTAGTTCATAGCCTATTATTTAAAGCAAAAAACTATGCAAATAAGTAATTCCTATCAGTCAAATAACTAGTTTAAACAACAGTTTTGTAAATAAATAGTTGAATATTTGTGTCTTCGTTTAATAAAGAGGTGTTTGCTTCTGAATGAAGCTGCGTTTTGAACGAATTGATGATTTGTTGATTTGAATCATTCAATAATCTATTTATAAAGAGTCATTTTCTACATTTCTGAATGAATCATCCATTTGAATGAATTAATTGAACATTTGAATCATTCATTAGACATTTACAGCCACCTACTGGCAGATTTAGCTTATAGCTTAATTCACATGACTCAGTTTAATAATACAAACAATACATAAGTAGTAGCTATCAGTCAAATAAGTTTATGCAACAGTTAAATAGTAGAAGTGCTAACTCTTCATTCAATAAAGAGTAGTTTTGCTTCTGAATGAAGTGTGTTTTGAACAAATCAATAATTAAGTGATCTGTGATTTAAATCATTCAATTATCTTCTCATAAAAAGAGTCATTTACTTCATTTCTGAACGAATCATCCATTTGAACAAATCAATTGAACATTTGACTCATTCATTAGACAGTTACTGCCACCTACTGGCAGATCTAATTTATAGCTTAATTCACACAACTCCATTTTATAATATAAACAATACATAATTAAAAGCGATCAATCAAATAAGTTTATACAACAGTTCAGTAAATAAATAGTAGAAGTGTTGTGTCTCTGTTCAATATAGAGGTGTTTTGCTTCTGAATGAAGCCGTGTTTTGAATAAATTGATGATTCATTGATCTGAATCATTCAATTATCTACTTATAAAAAGAGTCATTAGGTGCGTTCGATATGAAGCACGACTTAAGGTTAAGCGCAGGCGGGGGCGGAGTTGAAAACGGAGCCGTCAGGTCGGACAATACAGGGGTCAAAGTTGCTGCAGTCATGACCGAATCACACGGCGTCATCACCATTTGTTTATTTATAACAGCAAAAGATTTGCAGTACAAATAAAACAGAATACAATCTTTACGAACTATAGTTCATTATTAAACAATAAGGCAATTATAAATTAAATTTAAGTAGCCTATATAACAAACGCATGAGAAATATAGAGGAAAACGAGAGGGCACATAATAAGGAAATAAATATTCACGAATGGGGTTATTTTGGATAATAAAAGCATTTTTAAAAAAGCACTTTAATAGCTTTAAGAGCAAAATAAATGAGCTAAGTTACACTTTAAGTAGAAATAAATGTCACAACATTTCTGCAAAAACTGCTTGACAGGAAATAAAATATTTTAGAATCACATAGTTTTATATTTAATAACATTTTTTAAAACTAATTCATCAAGAAATCTTTTAAGATCAATAATGATAATTATTTTATTACAAGTTTGTAAGACTTATTTGAGTTAATAAATAGGTTGATTACTAAAATATATAATTTGAACCATTTATGGTGCTGAATAAAGTAAATACTCTGTATAAAAAGGTTGAATAAACCTGTGCAAACAGTCTAGTCTTCATAAACAAATTATTGAACAAAAGATGATGCTGCAATAAAATATTTGTAGTCTTTTAATAAGCACGATGTGTACAAGATAGAGATGGTATGAAAAATGAATTGTTTTTTTGAAATTTGTGAGACGGAATTTGTCCAATAATAAACCCGAAACACAGGTGGTTGTTGTCATGTAATATCCGTGTTGTCATCGCAGCTCCAGCAGTCGCTCTTCAGATGCTGCACTGGCTGAGTCTGCCATTTGATCTCGAAGTGCTGTCGCGGTACTTTGATGCCACATGTGACAGTCAAGTGGCGTCGGCGCAGCGTCAATCCGGACAAAATTTCTAACTGACGTGCACCACTTTAAGATCTGCACAGCGATGCATGTAGTCGAACACACCTATTTACTTAATTTCTGAATGAATCATCCATTTGAAGGAATCAATTGAACATTTGATTTATTAATTTAACGTTTACAGCCACCTACTGGCAGATTTAGCTTATAGCTTAATTCACGTAACTCAATTTAATAATATAAACAATATATAAGCAATGGCTATCAATCGAATAGCAAGTTTATACAACAGTTGTGAACAGTCTATGTTCAATTAACATGTTTTGTTTCTGAATTAAGCTGCGTTGGGAACAATTTGATAATCCAGTTATTCGTGATTTGAATGATTCAATTATCCACTCATAAAAAGAGTTGTTTTCTTCATTTCTGAATGAATGATTGACCAGATGACCACTGTTTAACCACTACAGCCTACATAAATACTGTTGCCGTGTACACTCAAAACATTTTATCACAAGATATTGCTTCAAGTTGTTACGTAAAATAACTGCAATAAATGACATTTTACAGTGTTAAACTCAAAACGCAGCCTATTATATTCTTCTGTATTATCATTGAAATGATCATTAAACTGAAAATGATACATTTTTTCACTCGCTAGACAAAACTTTCTGTTCAAAAGCACTGTAAACTTATAGATTTGCTTGATTTCTGAGACCCCCCTCACACTTTCAGTCTTACTCTGTTTCTTTTCACATGCGATCCCAAGGGACAAGGTGTCTTTTTGTTTCTTAGCAGCTGCCACACATTTCCTTTCTACCATAACACACTTCCCAAAAACTAACCTTTACTAGTGTAGTTTTTTTTTTTCTGAAGTGTTTCTTATACTGCAAAACTACCCAATACGCACCAAAAACACAACAATTTAGAAGTAAATTTGACATTATTACTTTTTTGTTTTAAAAAATTTAAGAGTGATTATTAATTATTAACCCCCAAAAGGCACTATCTATTAATTAATATGTACGAATTATCTCTACAAACAACTCTTAAACAGTTAGTCTTCATAAAAATTCAGCACTGTACTAAATGTAAGTGTTTTTTTTTTTTGTCTTTTTACCTGTAGTAATGTTTTGGGTCGTCGTGTTCATCTTGAAGCATCAGAAAGCAAACCGTGAAGCACTCTTAAAGACGGATAAGCAAAGACTGACAGAGGAGGTGAAAACAGATGTGGCGGAAGAGAAGGAGGGAGCGAGAAATGGAGACAAACATCAAATGTGAAAAAGGAGAAGTGAGAGGGTAAACATGCCGTAAACATGAAGCTATAAATCTAATATAACAAATAAACTTTTACTGATCTTTTATAAACAATAAGATCATAAAAATAAAGGTAATATAACTTTAAATTTATATATATATATATATATATATATATATATATATATATATATATATATATATATATATATATATATATATATAAACTATCTTGTTTAATTACTTTTTGTAATCATAAATAAAGACACTGATTTTCAGAAGATGCCCACTAAAATGTAATCTAATCTAACAATAATTTCAGTCAAAAAAACAAAAACAATTCTCATTCATGCTTATTTTAAAGAAAAGAATAGCATCATTACATATTTGTACACTCTATTTGGAGTAATATTTAACTTAAATATTTATTACTTTAAATTATATGTCAAATAATCCTTGTTTTGTTACCCATTCATTAGCAATACATCTTCAAATATTTACATTTTATTAATATTATTATACATTAGAATGTATATTTATTCTAATAAAGTATGCATTGAAATTAACTATTTAATCAATTATAAAATATAACTTAAGTCAATAAAGTAAAATTTAATGCAGACAGAAGAGCGAGACATATTTGACCAGTGGCCTGTATAAAGCACTCTATAATAATATAAATAATAATATAATCGTATAAATAACAGCTGATAATAATACACAAAATATTGATCTATTAAACAGCAATAACAAAACAAATGCACAGCTTGGTGAGGTCATCTGCACTTTTATTGTCTTTTTCTCTCTTCTTCACTCATTTTCTTTATATGCTCACATAAATATCATTTACAACATCACAGCCAAAGAATGCACAATCACAAATGTGTCTTCCTAATGAAGTCCACTCATCATCAGCTTGTCAAAGTAATAACGTGGGTGACAAAACCAGTTCGATTTTGGTTTCACCCTAATATTAAACTAATAAAGAGGAATTCAACTGTATTTTGCGCTCAGCACGCGCAGGCGCACTGTGAGATCACCGGGTAGTGCGCGCGTATCCATGCGCATCGCTTGAGCGCGCGCGAGCCCTGCTGGCAGTGCCACCGGAGTAGGGTGACGCTCACGGACTGCACCGGTTTACAGAACATCCCCTCCGGTAAAGAGCACGAGCGTTCGGTCGAGCATTGTCCCTCTTTGACGTATCGCGGCCAGAAACGCACGCCCAGGTCTTTCCACATGGACAGCACTGGGCACCGGGTGTACGACCACATCCACCGGCGCATCCTGCGCTCTGTCTTCGTCGCCACTTTGAGAGCAGTGAAATTCAGCTGCTGGAACTCACGTGGAATCGCTCCGGGTGCACCAGGGTCATCCTCACGGGGGATTTCGGAGCCGTTTCCTCGAGTCGGTGGACCGATAGACGAGAAAACAGGGTCAAAACTGCTGCCGAGTTTTCGCCGCAGCAGCCGGGGGGATAAATCCCGCTCTCCCGGTTGCAGCGCAGGGTCCGGGTCCTCGTGCAGGTCCGGTACCGGGAGGTGGTCGCTAGGCGACGGGCGCACGCGCAACTGTAGCTGAGCAATGACGAGGTGAAGGGTGACAGAAACACAGAACACGAGCACAGGAGACGCCTTCATTTCCATTCAAGACCAGAAAAGTTCATCAATAGGCTACATAAATTAGTGTTACTAATTTAGCTAATGAGCAACAAAACAGAACCGCAGGTAGTCTTCAGTCCTCTCTTCTTTCCCATAAATGACATTCACAGAAAGGTCATTAAGTAATTAAGAGAGGTTTTTGAATGGTTGATGTGTGGTTGCTCTTGATAACTGGAGCTCGTCCCCTGCCGAATGGGGCTTTAATCCGGACACCCCAAACGCGTCATAAGTTGCGCCGCTCGCCGGTGTCGCCCCGCGGGCTTCAGCTCAATGTGTCACCCGCTAAACTACAACATCCTGCGCCAAGGGTGAACTGAGAACACAGACGCCAAAATTAACTGAAAGTAAAGTTCAGAAGCCTTGCTTTAACTAGGCTATTGCAGCAGTACTTTGCTCTTTTAAAAGACTGTTGTTCACACAAAAATAATTCTGTCAGCATTTAGGCTACTCCACTTCCACTTGGTCTAAACCTGATTGAGTTTCTTTTTTCCTTTTCAAGAATGTTGAAAACAAGTAGCCAAAATTAAATCTTGTCATAAGTTACCTTATAAACCGCTTTGAGTTTCTTCCTTCTGTTCAAAGGAAGAGAGCGGGGCACAAAGTAGCACTTTTTGGTTTTGGTCAAATAATGAACAAAGCAATGGGGTTAGACAAACCATTTGTCTAACATTAAGCCTCTCCTACAAATGAGCACTGATTGTATGATCGTATGGTTTCTGTGCAGTATTGCCAAAAGTGACAGGAGTAAAAATGTTACTATTTACCTCACCAGTGGGGAAAGTTATAACAGACAGAGGGTTAGTTGTAACGCATGCGTATTTCACACATTAATTTATTACCTGTTTACTTTAAATAGTATATTTTCTCAGTACTTCCTCAGCTCAATTTATATTTTAATATTTATTTATTTATTTATTTATTGGATAAACACATTTGTATTTATTTGCATTATTATCCATTATTATACAATGCATTTAATTGCATTATTAGCAATAAAATATTTATTTTTCTATTACAAATAGTTTCTATTAAAAATAGAACACATCACTCTCAAAATTCAAAAATTATATTGTTTATAATTGGTGTCCAACAGTGTGTGGCTTACTTACACAGATTATTTTAAAACAAACAAATATCGACTATAATAAAAAATGGTCTCTCCTGTGATTCTCATCCAAATTTAGCCCAGCTTTTTAAAATAATTGTCAGGAAGTTGTCTGCTGACACTGTGGTGAAAACCTTGGAACTATGCCATGGTTAACCCAGAGCAAATACCCCAAAACTCTGTATTACAATTTATTTTGTGCACCGCGCTTCCCTATAGGCTTTTAAAGAGTATTGATAAAAAAACCTTTGACTTAGTATTTTTGTCCTTGTGGATGTCAATGGCTGCTTTTTCCCAGCGTTCTTCAAAATATTTTCCTTCGTGTTTAACAGAAGTATCATAAAAGTTTTGTGGCGCTAAATGAAGTGTTCTACAGCACTGTGCTATACACATTCTTCCTCATGTGACTACTCCATTTTTACATGAAGTGTGAAATAAGCACATGCATCAAACACATACACTCACCGGCCACTTTATTAGGTGCACCTTACTAGTACCGGGCTGGACCCCTTTTGGCTTTGGAAGTGCCTTAATCCTTCGTGTCATAAATTCAACAAGTTACTGGAACTATTCCTCAGATATTTTGGTCCATATTGATATGACAACATCACGCAGTGCAGCACATCCATGATGCAAGTCTCCCATTCCCCCACATTCATCGCAAGTTGCTCGTTTGGATTGAGATCTGCTGACTGTGGAGGCCATTTGAGTACAGTGAACTCATTGTCATGTTTAAGAAACCAGTCTGAGATGATTCACGCTTTATGACATGATGGTGCGTTATCCTGCTAGAAGTAGCCATCAGAAGATGGATACACTGTGGTCATAAAGGGATGGACATGGTCAGCAACAATACTCAAGTAGGCTGTGGCGTTGACAATTGGTGCTCAATTGGTACTGATGGGCCCAAAGTGTGCCAAGATAATATCCCCCACACCATTACACCCCCACCACCAGCCTGAACCGTTGATACAAGACAGTATGGATCCATTCTTTCATGTTATTGATGCCAAATTCTGACCCTACCATCCGAATGTTGAAGCAGAAGTCAAGAATCATCAGACCAGTTCTTTCCAATCTTCTATTGTCAAGTTTTGGTGAGCCTGTGTGAATTGTAGCCTCAGTTTCCTGTTCTTAGCTGACAGGAGTGGCACCTGGTGTGGTTTTCTGCTGCTGTAGCCCATCTGCCTCAAGGTTGGACGTGTTGTTCATTCAGAGATGCTCTTCTGCATACCTCGGTTGTAACGAGTGCTTATTTGAGTTACTGTTGCCTTTCTATCAGCTGGAACCAGTCTGGCCATTCTCCTCTGACCTCTGGCATTAATAAGGCTTTTGCACCCACAGAACCGCCACTCACTGGATGTTTTCTCTTTTTCGGGCCATTCTCTGTAAAGCCTAGAGATGGTTGTAGTGAAAATCACAGCAGATCAGCATTTTCTGAAATACTCCGACCAGCCTGTCTTGCACCAACAACCATGCCACATTTAAAGTCCCTTAAATCACCTTTCCTCATCATTCTAATGCTCGGTTTGACCTGCAGCAGATCGTCTTGACCATGTCTACATGCCTAAAAGCACTGAGTTGCTGCCATGTGATTGGCTGTTTAGAAATTTGCATTAACGAGTGTTACAAGTTAGTGTTCTGTTCTGATTTGCATATTTTTCTGTGGTCTTTCACACTCTATGTGGGAGTCTCACAGTATGTCATTTCCATCTACTGAATTATTATGTATTTGCAGATTTTCAATATACGGCACTTTCATTATAGTTTTTTTTATGTCAGAGGTGATGATATTGCACCTCAACCACTGAAGAACCAACTTCTGTTTGTGCTTGTGTGTGTGTAGACAGTACAAAAGGTTTGAATGTCGAGCGTCTACGTGACATCGAATGTGATGTGCGGCCTTCAAGTTGACACTTTGTCACACATTGACTGAATGACGCATTTTATCACTTTAAATTAATCAATTAGCTCAGTGCTCAACCTCTGACCTATAACGAGCACCGAGTTTGTGCCTGGAGGATCTACGTCAGTGACACCCCCTAAAAACATCCGCCACAAACACAAGCACAAACACGCAGCTCACCCACGCTGTTTAATAAATCTAATCATCAGGTCAAGCATGTCAGCGCAGCCGTCACTGAGGTGATGCTTGATCTTTCAGACACACCACAACAACACACAAACACACATAAACAATGCTGAGGGAGGCTGCCTCTTAACCCTTTGTTCACACATTCCCACTGTCAAAATCTGTTTGTTTTGTACACTTATTTGGGATATTAATAGCGTCAGGGAGGACGTGCTTAATAAAACTCTCAAAATTCATTAACTGAGGGTAGGTTTTGATTAAATGATGTTATCGCTAAAATGAATTCATTCATGTTTTTGAGATTTTATTGTCTTGTGTTGTCTTCCGAACATAGTTGTAAATTGAGTGTTTATATCATAATTCGCTGTTCAATTGTGTGTGTTTTTTTTAATGAATAGTTATACTGTAGTTTTCTCTAGTCTGTTTATTGAATGAGCCGCTCTTTTTCACATTCTTAAAATTAATATTCACAGGAAAGTCCAAATTGGGAAAAGCTCAAAGCTCTTAGAATAAAGTCAGAATTGCAAGATAAAAACTTGGAATTTTTTTTAAAGAAATAAACAAATTGTGGGTGGCACGGTGGCTCAGTGGTTAGCACTGTCGCCTTACAGCAAGAAGGATGCTGCTTTGAATCCTGGTTGGGTCAGTTGGCATTTCTGTATGGAGGTTGCATGTTCTCCCCGTGTTCGCATGAGTTTCCTCCAGGTGCTCTGGTTTCCCCTACAGTTCAAAGACATGCACTGTAGGTGAATTGGGTAACCTAAATTAACCGGTGTATGAGTGTGTGTGTGTGAATGTAAGAGTGTATGTTTCCCAGTACTGGGTTGCAGCTAGAAAGGCATTCGCTGTGTTAAACATATGCTGGATAAGTTGGCGGTTCATTCTGCTGCGGCGACCCCTGTTAAATAAAGGGGCTTAATGAATGAATAAACAAATTGTAAGACTCGATGTTCTAATCAAGTCAGAAATGTTTAAAGTTGGAATCTAAGGGAAAAAATGACTTGCGAAAAGTAAACTGAATTCTTAGATGAAAGTCAGATATCAATTCTGATTGAATTAATATAAATTCTATGATATAAACTCTATAATTTTTTAGCAAAACTATTTTTAGAAAAAAATATTGCGAGTACTTTTTTTAAAAAAATGTCTGAATTGCAAGATATAAATTCAAAATTTCAGAATTACAAATATATAAAATCACAATAAAAAAATAATAATAATTTTGACATTTAAACCCAGAATTCTAGTGGAAATTAACAAAGAATTCATCACATAACCTTAAATTTGTGAGATTTAAATAGAATTGTGAAGACAAAAGTCTCAATTGCAAAATATAACTTTGCAATATTTAGAAAGAAACTAAAAATATTGATGTAAACTTAAAGATGCTGTGTGTATGTTTTTGACTCTACTAAAGCATAAAAAAAATAATATGTTTGCAGATATTTAAGAGACATGCTAAGTGGACATTTTTGTTTATCTGTAAAAAAATGCTGGAGTCAGATATTCTGCTTTGAAAATGTGTTTTCCGTGCTGGAAGGCTGTCTTTGTTTTGGTTCTTTTAACCCGCCCAATGCCAGTGTAGCCAATTATATTTCTGCAGCTCGGGTTGCCTTGGTGGAAAACCGTGTATTTCATTCATTCATTCATTCCTTCATTCATTCATTCATTCATTCAGAGAGGCTCTGAAAGCATGCATCCATGACCGAAATGCGACCTTCGGTGGACAGTAGCAGACCCAGAAATGAGATGCAGATTAAGTTCCACATGAGGTTATTAATTAGCAAA